GTTTTCATTCTCTCCAAAACCTTATTGTTGCTCACACGTTTGGCCCATGGCATATCTTTCTGTAGAACCACATTTCTGTTGCTTCAAGTCTCTTCTTCATCTTTGAGGAGATTGTCCAGCATTTGCTGGCATACGGGAGAACAGATATCACATTCAGTACTCTTTTCTTTGTTTCTAACAAAATTTTTCTGTCTCTTAATACTCTGCTTAGCTTTTGGAATGCATCTTTGGCCATCCCAATATATCTTTGGATCTCAATTTGGATGAGTTCAAGACAGATCCATTAATGGAAGAGATGGATCATACCACATTCTTCCCTGCCTTATTCTTACAGAGGGAAGAAGTCCTGAAGTCCTTTGGTGTCTGTGAGGCGGTGGCAGATTGCCAGGAGTATGATGAAATTCTCCCTCTTTCTTGCTAGAACTGGATTTTATCCTGCTTCATTTTCATAATCCTTTACAAGTGGCTTGCTCGTCCCCACTTTGAGGGACCCGAGCTCAAAAGTTCCTTGTAATCTCCATAAAGAGATCATATTTCTGTTTCTTCATAGTCAGTCGAAGTGTCCTGAGGACAGCCCTTGCTTAGGCTTGTGGGTCCCAATTCATTCCTGTCCGTCGCATACTGGGGGTTAGCATCTAGAAGTTCCACTTAATCCACCAGTGATTTTTTCTTATTTCAGTTGTGTCTTTTTTAGTAATATTACTCCCAGTTTTGAGAGCCAAGATAGTAGGGACGCTTCAGTCAAACTTCTTCTAGGAAATGGGAGGAAACAATTCAGGGGTGTTGAAGTATCAATAGGTAGGTGGGCTCTCTTTTGTGAAAGTCATTTGTTACCACTTGAGGGACCAAAGCTCAAGGGTTCCTCGTAATCTGCATAAGGAGACCATGTTTCTGTTTCTTCATAGTCAGTCAAAGCGTCCTGAGGACAGCCCTTGCTTAGGCTTGTAGGTTTCAATTCATCCTCTGCTGAAGCCAAGTCCCTTAGTGAAATTCTGTCTTCCCGTCTGTCGGATAAGGGGGTTGGCATCTAGGAGCTCCACTTAATCCACCAGTGGTTCATTCTTATTTAGTTGCATGTGTCTTTTTTAGTAATATCACATCCAGTTTTGAGAGCCAAGATAGTAGGGACGCTCCAGTCGAACTTCTTCTAGGAAACGGGGGTGTTGTGTTAGTGGCAGTGCATAGCAGTGTTATAATTGCATGCAGGGCTTCTGGGAGTAGTTGTTCCCAATTCTTTAAAGTTACTCTTTTATCAGCAGCTGCTGGTTGAACAGTTTTCCAAATTATTCCATTATACCTCTTGCACTGGCTATTACCTTGAGGGTTATATGGTGTTGTTCTACTTACGGCTACTCCTTGCTCTTGCAGGAACTGTTGTACACGTTTGGACATAAATAAAACCACTCTGTCCAAATGAATATATGCAGGTAGTCAGAAGCAAAGTGCTTTATAACTATTGAAACTGTCAATGGAGTCTGAGGGCGGTTGATGTCTTGTAGCCAGCAAGTGTCTAGAGACCATTTCATTTTTCTTTTTAATGTAGATCCTGTTCAGTATTGTTATGGCCTCTTCATAGAAAGATGTGTCCACAAAATACTCATAAGTTTGTGCTGAGGTATATCTGGTGTAGCTTATTAGAACTTTGGTTGCCGTACTTGCTCAGGAAGTTCATGAAAGTTACTCTTCAGTGACGATATTCCAGTTTGGCGTCAGCTGCATTGGGTCTGGACAGAGTAAATTAGCAATTTTCAAAATGGTTAACAATGAGAGTATATTAAATTGTAGTAGAATTGTTCTAGCCAATACATATTACTTATCAGTAAGCTTTAATATATTTAGTATTTACCCAACCTCTCCACAAAGCAGGATGTGGCACAAGGCTGGTTTTAATGTCGGGCTTTCTGAGCGCGTATGCTCGGGCAAAAATTCCCTGTAAACCCTGTAATAACATAGCCTCATCTGGGTTCCTCCCTGCCCAGAGGAGGTCAACAAGCAGAAGATGACAGTGGACCACCTGACTCCTTTGAGCTTTAATATACTCAGTATTTACACAAGGTAGGATGTGGCACAAGGCTGTTTTTTTATGTGGGACTTGTCAAGTGCATATGCTCAGGCAAAAATTCTCTATAGACCCCGCATACATGGGGTCAGGTGGTTGTCTATTTCCCCAGATGAGACTCTACTCTTCTGCATAGCTTCGTCTGGGTTCCTCTCCCCCTGAAAGTAGAGAGGTTGACAAGCAGTGTATTTCAAACCTAGAGGTTTGATATACAAGATTTATTGTGTTAATGTACAGCAATTGTGGCACAAGGCTAAAAATGTGAAATGGGTTGAGGATGGTCGACACTATCTTATACCTATCTAATCTGATTCATGACCCATTGATTCATTACAATTTGCACATCTACTACATCCGTCATTATTCACTCATATATATATACAACAATACCACATACACATTGGGGAACCTATAAAACACGCTATGACATAAAAATTCTTGAATATAAAATTATATATAAAAATTTATTGATGATAAGCAATGAGTGGGGTGGGAATGAACATGCATATCAGCAGAGTTCTCCTGAATATGTGTGTTCAGTACAGATCCATTAATGGATCATACCACATCTATTGCTTTATTTTTATTCATAATGATTAATTTTACACTATTTACATTATTCAGACTATTGTCGAAATCTTTGTTGCCATAATTATCACAACGTTTCGGCCATTGTATGCTCTGGTGACTGTGTGAGTTCAATACCTGGTTAAGGCAGTGGAGAACTTGGAGAGGTGATTTAACAGGAGATGGTATGTGGAACTAGAGCAGTCTACCCCAGCAAGCGGAATAAAGGGTTCAGTTCAACATTCCAACCACCTGAAGAATGCTGGAGTGTACAATGGCCAAAATGTTGTAATAAATATGGCAACAAAGATGAGGACAGTAGTCTGAATAATGTAAATAGTGTACATAATACCTCATCTCAGAAATATAAACAGATACTGATTAATTTTAAATAATTACTGTTTTATATTTTTCAGAATTAAATGTTAACCATACCAGTATTGATTTTTCTTTTAATTCACATCCTCAGATCTTGATGCTTTTCCGTCTTTATTATTTATTTAATGTTTATATACATATTTGCATCATTAGACTCACTTTTTTGTTTGCACTTTATGATTTTACATAATAAAATTTCAGATTTTTTTTTAATCTTTTTACTCCAAGCAAAGTGATAATGCTACTAGGACACATGGGGTTACAAGGAGTGAAAGAGAATGTGAAGATTTTAGTAAGGAGGAGTGAGGAAAGGATAATAAAGCAACAGGGTTTAGGAAGACAGAAGATCGATTGACATTGCATTTAAATTTTTGAAGATTATAGGTGACAGGGAAGCAAGAAATCAGGAGTTCTACAGGTGTGAAGTGCAAGAAAATAAACTGTTAGAATTGAAGTAGTGATTGTATCTAGCTAGTTCAACAGTAAGACAGTGAGACCTAATGGCCAATCTAGTAGCATGCTTAAATTCATGTAGTTTGTGTAAATCATAATTCAAATTATAATCAGCTTTTATTACCACTGATTATTGCTAGATATTTTTTTCATGTTCTGAATAGTAAAATGTGACAAAATTTTACTTTCAATTTTATTTTATTGGTGTCTTATTGAACTGATCTTGGATTGAAGAAGTTATTTCTTCATGTGAACTCTCTTAGTCTTTTCATCATTTTTTTCAGCAAGACTTTTGAACAATTCACAATGAAAACATGTCTTTCCACTGTCTTATGAAACATAAAAGTAAGCTACATGTTTATCATGTGAATAATTTTTACTAATTCATCTGAAGATAGTAAATTATTTCCTGCAGGATATTAGTTTGATATATGATATTAAGCAAGTACTTTATCAATGTTTTTACAATTAAGTTAATGTACTGTGCTTAGGATGGAAAACTTACTCAGAGTCTGAAAGTAATTTCCTTTGTGAAACTGCTATGTTTTATACTCACCTTATGCTGTAACCACTGACTATCTGAAAATGTCAACTTTAATATAAACTCCTTCACTATTTTATATATAAGCTATAAATAATACTTAGAAAATTAGAAAATTATCAGCTCTCTCATTTAAATTTTTCTTAAAAATTCTAATAGCAGCATTGTTACCTGTTAGCATTATTACATTTTTACAGCTGTTTGTTACTTGTGAATCACCTCATCAGGTTTTTAAGAAAATATATTTCCTCTTGAAAGAATGAGAGTTTAAAGTAACATTTTTGTTTTGCCTACCTGAGATCCTTAAATAGCTTTACCAGATTTTTGTGACTGATAAATACTGTTTGGAGTGGAATCAATATCTTTTCTAAGAAAGGAAATAATGTATAAACTTAGAAAAAAAAAAAAACATAATTATATTCTCTATTACATTTGTTGATAGTTTACCTAATGAATCTAGTGTGAGAAAACAGGGTGCAATACAGTGGAAACAGAATATTCTGCTATAACTATCAAGAAATAGTGAACGAAAAGTGCAAAATCTATTTCCAGTAACTAAAGTTTTTTTTTGTTTTTGTTTTTTTTTTATTGTTGAATGCTGACTTATTCAACCATGAGAAGAATCAAGTGGATATTTTATTTACATTTCTTTAACTTGTTAATTTTGTATTGTTGAATAAACAGAAGTTTCTCACTTTCTGATTAAAAACAAAAAAAGACAGGAAGCATACATTGAATTCCTCTAGAATTGTTTATCTGACTTGAACTCATAAAATTTAATTTAGTGCGATACAGTTTTTTTTTTTTCTGTGTTTGTTTATTTTTTCAATTTACTTTTTGTTACTTTTTTCTTTCTAGATTGTTTTACAATACTAGTTAACATTGCGGATTCTATTGAATGTGTATGGATATTAAATGTTAACTTTTATTATTTATCTCTAATTCTAGAGATTTAATGGAAGTAGACATATCTTCCTTTAGCATCAAGAATTCTATAATCTGATGAGGTTTGTTGAGTTAGATTGCTTTTCAAGTTTCTCCACTTCCTCCTCCCTACCTTCTGCTGCTGCTTCTTATAGCCATACCCCCATCATCATTCCTCCACATCCCCAGTACCCTAACAGGCCTCTGCTGCCAACTTGGAGGAAATATTTCTATATGCTAGCACCAATCAGGCTCTGCTGTTGTGGGCCCTATCAACTAAGCTTGGGGATCATATTTCCTATCTGTTGAGGTAGAGAGACAAGACACGAAATGGTTTCTTATAGTTGAGTCTGGTTTCAGTTTAGCAGAGCCTTCTGCATACTATTTCTCCTGCTAGTGGCCGTTTCCAGTGACACTTCAGCATCCAACCAAGTTTAAGAGGACCTACAGTAAAGGTAGATGACATTTTAAAAATCTTTAATAACCTTTTTTTCCAGTTAAAATTAGGATAATATTTGTTTGTCTACTCTGACATAAACTTCTTATTGATGAGTTACCTAGGTGTGTTGTCTAGGTGTATGTATTTGTTGACAGAAATGAGTTTGACTGTAGGTCACTAGATGCAGGCTAATTTTTAGTTTTATTTTCATTTTCCATTTCACAATTTATTATGATAGGATTTTTTAAAGTTCTTTCTAAGTTTGTTATTTTTTTCTAAAAAAATATATAGACCACTTTCCACCTTTCTTGCAGCCAACAAGTAGGGATGGCCTGCTATCATATCACCACAGCTACATTTGGTTGTTTACATGAATGCCAGTCATTCCTTATATCAATACATGCTTTTCTTAAGTTTGACAATTTACTTTTATTACCATTTTTTTTATGCAAAGAGTAACATGTTCCTTAAAATTATCCCTGATATCAAATTAAATAAATCATAAGACATTTCTAATTACCAAGCTTATCTGACAACATTCCAAAGTACTGGTACTGTTTTAAATAAATCTGTTCTTATTACATAAACTACTTGAATTAAAGTTGTTAAAGTAAATACTATTTTTAAGTGTTACACACACATACTTATATATATATATATATATATATACATGCACACACACACATACATTATTTTATAAATTGATTTGTTAACAATCTGAAAAATGAAAGGTTGAAAATGGACACTATATGAAAACATTAAACATTCAACAATCGTGATATGAATTTAAGATACTAATACAAGTATTCTTTCTAAAAAGTAATATTGATAATAACCTAATTTATGTAGAAGTCTTTCATTAGGATATAATTAACTAAGTTTTACTAAAATTTTGATACACATTTATTTATACATGTAATTTGTTTCTTCAGATATAATTATTTTTTCATTTCATGTGAAATTATATTTTTTAATCAAAATTGTTAAAATCTTTAAGCAATGACTGAAATTAAACATTTTTAATTTTCTGTATGTATGTAGATGTATTTAAATTTATTATTCTATTTAGATATCTCAATAAACATTGGTATTAATGCATTGAATTTTAGTGCAGATCTTGCAAAAGAATTATTTTTTAGAAACAAATATTCAGCATTCTTTTATTTTGCTCAAATTCTTATATATAGTTAAGGAAAACTTGTGAACTTTTTCCCTGATAATTAATCTCTGTATTGCTAGACGAGAAGAATGCAAGTTGCCTAATTTGTTGTAGGATGAGGAAGCTACCTTCTTTCCTGAACAGTCCCTAATTTGGGAGAATTCTACTTCTAGCTTTTCTCACATGCTATGCCAGATGCAAAAATCTTTGCTTATTAAAAATAAATAAATAAAAATAACTATGCATTTAACCAATGCTAATGCAAAATATTTGGGCATTATTTTAAGGTTTTATTAATTTTATACTCAGTTTCTATTTTCAATTGTTAGAAGTTAATATTCTACTAATTGATAAATTGAAGAATATTACAATTAAAATCTTGTTTTTGTTTCTATTTCTTATTTTTAAGATTTTGTGTTGAATAATAAAACATTTAGATATAATTAAGATATTCGGGTATGATATGATAGCTGGTTTCACTTTAAGTATTTGAAATTTAAAACAGCCACATTTGAATACATTATCTCAATTTGATAATATTTATTAATAAGGTGTTAATTGATAAGGATTTTTATATAATTTATCTTGGCAACATCTTGGTTTGTTTTTACTGACATGTGGAAGGAATTCCACCTGCACTTAATTTTTTTATAGTCCATGAAGTAAGATGATAAAACTGTATCAAATAACTTTTGAAGACATAAACTCGTCTTTTATTCATACAGAAAAATTTAAAAACAAAACGTTTCACTCTAAGCAAGGCAATAAACCTACTAATATGCAAGAGGTTATTGAGTGTGAGAGAATATAAGAAAAAAAAAACACTATTGAGGAGAGAAAACAATAAAAGAACAGGAATTAAGAAAACAGAAGATAACTATTAACATTGCATTTAAATCTTTGAAGATAAAAATTAACTGGAAAGCAAGAAGTCAAAAGAGTGTTCCACAAATAAAAAGTGCAAGAGAAGAAACTGTTAGCATAGAACTTACAGTTATATCTAGATATTTCAACTGTAAAATGATGAGACACTGCTGCTAATCTAGTACTTAAATTTCATATACAGTATTGTTTAGTGGTGACTTATTGGACAAAAGAATAGAATATAATTTTCTTTTTATATGAAGAGTAACTAATTTTTTATGAAATAATTTTTTTCTAATTTTACTTGGAATTTTTAAATTATAATAATAATAAAGAGAACCCAATATTGGATACATACTGAATATTGAAGAATTTTGGACAGTTATAAAACTGTTTATTCTGAGAATAGTGTAAAATAACAGTCCAAGAGATATTGTGACTTTGAAAAGAAACCTCATTGTTACCAAACCGATCCTAATTTAAACCAAATAAATATTTATTTTTGGATAAAAATACTTTTCAAAAGTATCCTTGTGCTAGATCTGGCATAATTCTACCAGATGATGCAAATGCAAATAACTAGGAAATGTTTTCATTTAATGTTCATGAATTTGAAAATTTATTTTCTGATTAAATATGTCTGTGTCAGAAATGTTTCGTTGTTTATAATTAAAGTGTATAGTCCTAACATAGTGTAATTGTATTGCAATTAGCTCATTTGCTAGTAATATTTAAGAGAGTATCTTGAATCTGATATAATTTTTATATAATTTATCTTGTGTTAACTAAATTAATTCAAGAATATTCTTACAGAAATGTGTATATATGTGTATATATATATATATATATATATATATATATATATTGGGCTATTAAGATTTTTTGAACTTACTATAAGTGTCAGTTTATCACAGGTGAATGTCACAATTGTGAAAATCCCCACAACCAAGTTATAATTGAAAATGCTATGTTAAATATATTGATTACTTAATACACAATATACATCAAATTTAGAACATCTTTTGCAGAGACATCCTGATATAACCTGTAAAAGGATGCAGAAACATTTGATATATCCAAGTCTGCACATTTTTACATGCATATTTTTCATACCAGATATTTATTACAGATTTTCTTATAGTATATTTGACTGATAAATAAAAAAAAGCTGACTACAAATCAATTTTCTTTCTACCAGAGAAATAAGCAAATAGCTATCACTGATCTGACACTTTAGTAGTAGCTTCAACACTTTTTCTTTATAATCAAATTGTGGAAATATTGGAAAGATTTTAACAAGTTTTAAATATCTTTTGATTTTTGTTCTCCAAAATGATTGTCAGTTATTCAACCTCTACTCTTTCTAAGTTGAACAAAAAATACTGTTGGCTAGTTTCAAGTTGTATCAGAATCTTTGATTTCCATCTTCATTTTATTATTACTTGCTTCACCACATTGGTTTAATAAGGACAGAACAATTCAAGATGCTTATTTGTAATAATCAAACAAAAATTTGGCAAGACAATGAATTTGTACTGTAGTTTCTTTTGAATATTCTGTATTCTTAATTTCATGTTTCAAGTTTTGTCTTCAATGTGGAGAAAAAAATCAAGAAAATTCTAAAATTGTAATTTCTTAAGTCAACTCTGAGATATGAACTACTTTGATTACCATAACTGTTTTTTCTTTTTTAAAACATACATTTGAAGATTATATTAAGTATATTCTAACTAAAGTTAATATTCTTGTAATGCCACATTCTGATTTAGGTGTCTAAATTCATAACTATTTTAAGTAATGGATAATGCTTTTACTTTGTATCCCTTAAAAATATAACCAAACAGCTTCTAACTCTGCTTCTGTAAATAATCTGTTACCATTTACTCACACTTTATAGTGTCCTATCTGTCATATCTTTGTTATTCTTAACAACCTTATCTCTGACGTAGCTGTTATTTTTTTCTTGCTCTACTCTAGTTTATTCCCTCTCATTTCTCCCTGTAGGAGAATCCTAACCTGGTCTTTAATCAACCTAAACTCACATCTCCATATCTCCTCTTTCTTTCCTTCTTAATGTAACTAACATCCATATGCCTACCTTCATGCCAACTATGCCTACTGCAAACCCAAATGTAACTGGGATGATTATGTAGACCTGTTGCTGAACTGCTCTGACTATAAGAATAATTGCAACATCTTATAAACACCTTCAGTCATGCAAATCCATATATACATCTTATCTTTTAAATATTTGATATACAATATTTTATTTAAGGACCATTATTCAAACTTGGAAAATTCATTATTTGGCAACTAATCACCAGTATGTTGATCATAATATCAGAAGCTAGAGAGTTGAAGACAATCTTTGAGAAAAATAAAGGATTAATATTTAACATTAAAAAATACCTGTTAGTTCCTCTTTTTTTCTTTTTCCCCCAATCACTATAATCTTGTTCAAGTCTAGACTTAACCATAATCTATGCCTCTTACTCTGTAATCATCTACCTCGAGTGGTTCTTGGGCCTTGTACAGGGTGAACATCATTGTAAAACAAAAATTCTGAATATTTTTTTCAGTATTAATTTTTTTAATTTCAAGAAACAAATTATATGACAATTTAATTCTTTCACATATTAAGCTTTGACTTTTGACTGGATGTGCGCTGTGATGTAATGAATATTGGCTAGGAATATGAAATTGGGAAGCTGAGTTTGAATTCCAGTGGAGTTCATTAGATTCACTTATGCACAAATACACTTGTAAAGGTATGAATCCATCTCTTTTCCCTCCAGCTATGGGTTGAATAGCAGGACAGACTGGGATCTATAGCCTTGATTGGAAACCAGTCGACTGCAGAAAGAATTGGAAACCTACTGTGGGAAAATCTTTAAACTCTCTCTTCCAACATGCCTTGAGCCAGCATGGAAGAGTAGGCTCATAAAATTAACATGAGAATAATATCTCCTGTTAATACACAGTCTGCAACATTG